AATTTTATAAACCTGGTGAAAAGACACCAGTAAAGTGAGGGAATAAATGCAAATGAAAATTTCTGTTACTAGCAGCTCCTGCAAAAAATTTTACAAAATAGTCAACATTGACTACCTGTGTAGTGGCCATTATAAATCATTATTGATATTATGTAGCATATACTCCTACAATTTTATTTTAAAATGTTTTACTTGGCAATTGGAAGCTGGGAAACTAATTTTTTTTTCAAATTGATGATTGTCCTTAATTGGTGAGTCATCTCATCCCTGTTTTACTTAAGTCAAAACATCAATCTCGGTCTTGATAAAGTCTGGGCAATTTAGGTAACAGTCCAAAAAATAAAGGCAGATGGTTGAGGGGTTATTTCAGCTTATTCATATATGCAACACTGCTCAGCTAAGGTCAATGTTTTTCCACAGCGTGATCAGGATCTTGAGAGTTCAAAACAAAATGAAGGAACTGGAGGCAATAATTTGTACTGAAAATCCTTTTAAAATAGGAATGCATAAAATATGGTTACAGAGAACTCGATTGCCAAGTAAATTCCAGAAGACAGCAGGGGGAAGATGGCAAAAGTGGAGTAATTTGTATTAATTAAAGATTGTGTAATGTTGGAAAAACAAAATGTAACTGGCAGTAAGATAGATACTGGATCCAAAATGATTGAATTAAAAGATAAAAGGGGATTCATTGCTGTGATATCTTTCCAATTGGTGGGAAGATTACAGGAAGAAATATGTGCACAAATTCAAATTCATGAACAGGTACAGAATAATAACCATGGGCAATTTCAACGAGCTCCCATGCAAACTAACAGAAATTAGTAGCAAAGGAGAAAAGGAAGTCAGATTCTTAGTGTCTACGTGACTCCATTTTGAAGCAGAACATATCAAGTACAACAAGAAAATAATCACTTAAAGGAAAGGAAAATACTGCAAATGCTGGAGATTGGAATAATAGTGAAGTGCTGGAGAAACTCAACATTTTGAATCTAATGACTCTTCAGAACTTTCGCAGATGATCCAAACCTGCTGAGTTTCTCCAGCACTACTTAAAACATTTTTGGAAAGAATCACTGCTGCATCTTGTAATAGGTAAAGAAAAAATAGGGCGACACGGTGGCTCAGTGGTTAGCGCTGCTGCCTCACAGTGCCAGGGACCTGGATTCAATTCCACCCTCAGGCGACTGTCTGTGTGGAGTTTGCACTTTATCCCCTTGTCTGTGTGGGTTTCCTCTGGGTGCTCTGGTTTCCTCCCACAGTCCAAAGATGTGCAGGCTAGGTGGATTTGCCATGCTAAATTGCCCATAGTGTTCAGGGTTGTGTAGATTAGGTGGGTTAAAGGGGGATGGGTCTGGGTGGGCTGCCCTGAGGGTCGGTGTGGAATTGTTGGGCCGAAGGGCCTGTTTCCACACTAGGGATTCTATGGAAAAAAAAAATGAAAAAAAGAGCAGATATGTTTGGATGAAGAATGTCAAAATGCTCTTAAACTGGGAAAAGAGCAAATTATGAAGAAATAAACATGGAACTAATGAAGATAATCCTGGATAAAAATTTGAAAATCAGAGAGGCTGATGAAGAGCAAGGATTCCACTAATAGCAAAAATCAATTAACAAGCTAATTATGTGGTATAGAGAACAAATGAAAAAATTGAATCAATAGGAGAAAACAAGTACAAAAATGTCTTGGATACCAAAAGAGGGCAAAGGGGAAAAAAATTTAGAGAAGGGAAGTAGGAATAGGCCCACTTAAGGATGGGCAAGGTAAACTCACAGGTAATAACAGAGAAATGGCAGTACTACTTGGAGGTGGATCATAACATGTCCAAACAGGTTGACTTAAAAATATTTTACTGAAGAAAATAGCACTAGGAGAGAAAAGAACGATATTATTACAGTTGAGATAAAATGGGGGAAAAAAAATATAGTTGACAAGCCTGTATTCTTCATTGCTTTCTCTTCCACTGCTGGTGTTTGACAAGGTGTTTCCCAAAACCCGCTTCCACAGCCATGTTTCCTTTCTCAGCAACTGCTTGGAAATGACTCTGACTTACCCCACGTGGATTTGAACTCAAGTTTCACCCTTTTGTGCTTCAAATCCACCCAGGATTACAAGTATCATCAGGACATAGAACGTTTTTCAGACTCTTGCACTTGCCACATCCTGCGATCCATGATCAACGCCATGTGCCGTCATACGCGCACACTTGACTCCACTCTGCAGCAACATCGACTCACCCTCTCTCAACGCTGTGCCGGTCCCAAGTTTCACTTCATCCTTTGCCTCAACAAAAGACTTCTCTTTCTTTCAGACATCAAGGCCTGTAAGCTCCAGCAGCTTATGGACTCCAACATCCGTCCTGCAGACTGTCCCTTAGCATCCACCCCTTCCCAGTCCTCAGATGCCATCGTTTTGTCCCCCTGAGGCCACACCCCACCAATCCCAGCCCTTGCCGTGTTTTCACCGTACCTCTTCTCTGAGACTGAACATACTGTTGTCAGCAAAGGACTCGGCTTTATCCACTTACACCCCCACCTTAATGAATTTCAGGCTTGTCTCTGTTTCCGTGCTCACTTCTTTGGACAGGACTCTTACCCTCCTACCCCAAAAAAAAACAACGTTCCACTGATCCCTTCACCTGCCTCCAGTATTCACCCTCCACTTGGACCCCTTCCCCTGGCCTTTTACCTGTCCTTGATCTCTTCGTTGAAAACTGCCGACATGACATTAGCCGTCCCAATTTCTCTGTTCCTCTCACCCACTCTAACCTATCCACTTCTGAAATTGCTGCACTTAGCTCTCAGGTCCAACCCTAACTTTGTTATCAAACACGCTGACAAAGGTGGTGCTGTTGTAGTCTGGTGCACGGATATTTACCTTGCCGAGACTCAGTGCCAACTCTCGGACACTTTTTCCTACCAGCTCCTGGACCATGACCCATATCCGAACGTCAAGCCATTGTTGCCAGGTCTGTCACTGACCTCATTACTTCTGGAGATCTCCCCCTCCCACCTCCCCCAATTGCCTCCAACCTTGTAGTCTCCCAAACCCAGACAACCTGCTTCTACTTCCTTCCCAAAACCACAACCAGACTGTCTGGTAGGCCCGTCGTATCAGCCTGATTCTGCCCCACCGAGCTCATTTCTTCCTACCTTGATTCCATCCTCCTCTATTTGGGGTGGCATGGTGGCTCAGTGGTTAGCACTGCTGCCTCATCGCCAGGGACCTGGGTTCAATTCCACCCTCAGGCAACTGTGGAGTTTGCACATTCTCCCCGTGGCTGCGTGGGTTTCTTCCAGATGCGCCGGTTTCCTCCCCCAGTCCAATGATGTGCAGATCAGGTGGCTTGGCATTGGAAAATGTAGGGTTACAGGGACAGGGTAGATCATGGTGGGATGATTTTTGAAAGGTCGGTGTAGACTTGATGGGCTGAATGGCCTACTTCCACACTGTGAAGGGATTCTATGATTCATCCTCTCTCCATTTGTCCAGACCCTACCCACCTACCTCCGCGATTCCTCTGATGCCCTCCACCGTATTGAAAGTTTCCAGTTCCCTGGGCCTGACTGCCGCCTCTTCACCATGGATGTCCTATCTTACCCACCAGGATGTCTGCGAGCTCTTGGGTTCTCCAGGGGCCTGAACACTCCCCATCCACCACCACTCTCCTTCACATAAATGAACTTGTTCTCTCACCGAACAATTTCTCCTTTAATTTATCTTACTTCTGCCAAGTCAAAGGAGTGGCTATGGACACCCGCAGGGGTCCCAGTTATGCCTGCCTCTTTATGGGGTATGTGGAACAATCCTTGTTCCAGTCTTACACTGGTCCCCTCCCATAACACTTCTCTCGAGATGTCAACGACTGCTTCATGCTCCTGCCAGGACCTTGAAAAATTTGTTCATTTTGCCTCCAATTTTCCACCCCTCCTATAACTTTTACATCGCCCATTTCTGACACTTTCCATCCTTTCCTTGACCTCTCTGTTTCCATTTCAGGAAATAAACTGTCCACTGCCATCCACTATGAAGCCATTGACCTCCATAGCTATCTTTACAACTGCTCTTCACACCCCACGTCCTGCAAGGACTCCATCCCATTCTCCCAGCTCCTTTGCCTGTGTCACATCTGTTCGGATGATGTCACTTTCAAAACAGTGCTGCTGATAATGCTTGCTTCTTCCATAACTGTGGTTTCCCATGCACTTAGGCTGACAGGGCCCTCAACCGCATCTGACCCATCACCTGTGCTTGCGCTCTTGTCCCTTCCCATCACTCTCAGAAGCGTGATTGGGTCCCCCTTGTCCTCACTTTTCATCCCATCAGCCTTCACATTCAAAGGATCATTCTCTGCCATTTCAGACAACTCCAACAGACCGCCACCATCAAACACACCTTCCCTTCACTTCCCCCATCTGCATTCCGCAGGAATCGTTCCCTCTGGGACACCCTAGTCCATTCCATGACCACCAACACCACCTCCCCCTTCCCATGACACCGTCCAATTTAGCTGCAGAAGGTGCAACACCTGCCCCTTCACCACCCAAGAACCTAAACAGTCTTTCTGGCTGAAGCAGCATTTTCCCTGTACCACCTCCAATCTTGTGTATTGTATTTGCTGCACCCATGTGACTTACTCTATATGGGAGAAACCAAACGCAGACTGGGTGACCCCTTTGCAGAACTCTTCCAATCTGCACGCAAGCATGACCGCGACCTTCCCATGCAGGTTATTTTACCAGCATCCTGCTAACATGCCCACTTGTCCTTGGTGTGTTGCAGTGCTCCAGTAAATCACAGTGCAAACTGGAGGAACAACATCTCATCTTCAGACTAGGCACTTTACAGCCTTCTGGACTTAATATTGAGTTCAGTTCTTGCAAATTGTGAACCAACTCCCATTTCTTCCCTTTCTTTTAGTTTTACTTGTTATATTCTCTGTCACCATATCTGCTCCCCCCTCCTCCCACCTTGGTGGAACTGTCTGCTCTTTCAAGTCTGGCAGTTAGACATGCCGTTGTTCTGCCATTCTCAAGTTCTGATCATTTAATCTGAACTATCAACATCTTTTCTCCACCAGTACTCTGCACCCCCACTATCTCCCCACCCCATCTGTTGCATAAATGCTGCATCCTCCTCATTTTATTTCAGCTCTGATGAAGAGTCGTCTAGACTCGAAACATTAGCTTGCTCTCTCCACAGATGCTGACTGACCCACTGTGATCTTCAGCATTTATTGCCCTCTACTCCTTTATCCTTCATATGTTTGTCTACCTTTTTCTTCAGAAAGCATGTTACAATATTTTGCTGACTTTTTGGCACTACTGACATATTGTTGCAGATCAAACAATGGTTGTGGCATAAAATAGTAAGATTTTCAGTATAACTATGCAGCAGGTTTGAATATGGTTTTATTTGAATGTATTTGAAGTTTTGAGGCTTTGTGCTATCGGCCTATGGTAATTTCAGCTGCGATTGTATGAAAGCCCTGTAATACCGAAAGCAAGAGGACAGCTGAAAAATTGCCACACCGAAGGGAAGGTATACCATAGGGTGATTTATGCTTGTAATGTTATAACTTCAACATGATCAGAAAGGGAGGCAAGAATATTTGAGAGAAGAATCCTAATTATTAATGTAGATATATTTAAACTTGTGATCGTCTTTTAGCATTGATTTACATTGTGTATGAGTGTAAATCTCTGAAAATAAGAAAATTGAATAAATGCAAACAGCAAAATTTTAAGATAAACTTAATAGTGCAGCCAATAGAAAAGTGTGTTTAATAAATCTAATCTTAATTCATAGGATCCTAAGAACCTCTTGACACTCTAGGAAACCTGCAGAAGTGCTATATTGTTTTAGCAATAATTCGGTATCAGTTAGTTTGAGCCAGTGGGATATATTGTCAAGAACAAATTAAAATTGTATGGCAAGCTGTAATCTTAGTTGCTGGAATACACTAAATTTCATTATTTTAAATTTTAAAAATATGAATTGTTTTATAAATAAAATGTGTAGCATCATTAAACTTTGCAAATTTTAAGCATTTTTATTAATACTGATGTGAACTTTGAATCACTTCAGGATTAAAAATAAATCAGGATTTTTAGATTAGTGGCTTGTCTAACTGTTGTAGGTTTTCAATTGAAAGATAGGTTCATTTTCTTCAATCCTAGAACTGCATCTGTTTTTCCACTTTAACTGCATTTCTAGAACCTGTTTGTTTCAGGACTGTACTAAATGTTGCCCTTTTTTGTTGTTTTGTTCTAAATCTATTACTGGTTTATTTTATCTTGATGAAAGAATTGAAATTAGTTCACTTAAAATTTGCATTGCTATTAGCTGCATCGCTGCCAGTGAGTGAAGTCAATCAGTTTGAAGTCTGTGAGAGGTTTAGCTGTATAGGTACCAGTGAGAAAGAGCAATCATTTTGATGACAATAGAAGGGTTTAGCTGTCAAGTAAAGATTGCCAGTGGAAGTGGGAATTCCGTTTTTACACCTGTTTTAACCTTGTGAAAGTTTGAATGAGAAGATTGGTCAATTTCATCACCGCGGTTGGATATATAAAATCCAATTCCCACCTTTAAAACCGACAGAAGGAGCTTATTTAATTTATTGTGATGGAGACAGAAGTGGGAGGTTGTGCTTTCAGGAGGGATTAAGTATGGTAATAGAACAAGATGTTTGTGTTGTTGTTTCAGTTCTGATTTCTGTGTTTGAGTAACTGTCTAACTACGTGATGATATGGACTTCTTGACTAATGAATCAATATCAGTGGTTTTTAATTTGTGTTCGTTTAAGTATTTTGTCTTTTTCAGGATTGTTCTAAAATAGTGCCTTAATTTTTATTTTTGTTTTTCCTTTTAGGACTGCTGCTGTTTTTCAGAGGTTTTATCAACTACCTGAAAATCAGAAATATGTCTGAGAACGTGGCTGCGACACACCGGACCAGACTTTTCTTCTTGTACTAGAGGTAATGCTTCATTTCAGTGGGTATACCAATAACAATTTGACCATTGCCTTGTTTCTATATCATTTATCTGTTTTTTTAAGTCTTCTTCAGATCAATCTGTTCAGTATGATTAAAATGTATTTCTTCTGAAGTCCATTACCTGCATCCTGATTACACTCGTGCCTGTTGTGGCAAGGACATTGCAGATGGAGAAAATGTGGGACATGTAATGGTTGCATTGTGACCCCTAAGAATTGCACTTTTGATCACTTCCGTTCAGTTATGTCTGTTGGTTTGAAATATTCTGATGAAACATATGTCATGGTTTCTAAACCTGAAGTGAAATGTTGTATGTCATTTAAAATCCTGCCCTATGGAGTCAGCTCCAGCATGCCTTTCCACTTAGATATTGATCCCAGGCTTTCGCTGCAGTCTGTCACAGTCTAATATTTATATCTATATGAAAAAAAATTGCCACCAACTCAATGTAAGCAAAATTGAAACTGTGCTCTTCTGTAGTTTCTGGCCTTGACTCAGAAACATAAAAACATGAGTACGCAATTTAGCCTGTGAAGCCTGCCCCACCTTTCAATTCAATAATAGTCGACTATTCACTTTAGTGCCTTTACTTACCCCATCCCCATAACTCAGTCCATCATTGATAATCAGAAATCTACAATCTTTACCTTAAACAAACTCAGACTGAGCTTCCATAGCCTTCTGTGATAGAGAATTCCAAAGGTTCAATCTTTTGTGTTTAAAAAAAAACTCATCTTGGTCCTAAGTGATATTCCCTTATTTTTTAAGTTGTGCCCATTGGTTCTAGATTCTCCAACCAGGCGAAACAGCTTACCTGCATTGACTCTGTGTATCCCTTTACATATTTTCTAAGTTTCAATGAGATCACCTTTCATTCTTCGAAGCTCTAGAGAATGTAATCGCAGTTTTCCCACGTTGTCTTCATTGAACAGTCTTGCCATCCCTGGTATAAGACTGGTGAACTTTTGTTGCACGCCCTCTATGGTCATAATATTTTTTCCTGAGATAAGGAGATCAAAATTGTACACATTATGCCAGCTGTGGTCTAACGAAGCTTGTGCACAATTGAAGCAAGATTCACTATTCCTGCACTCAAATCTTCTTGCAATAAAGACTAACATTTCTTTAGCCTTACTAATAGCTTGCTGCATCTGCATGTTAGCCTTTAGTAACTTATCCGCAAGGACACTTAGGTCCCTTTGTACATCTATATTTTGTAACCTCTGCACATTTGTTTCTCCCACCAAAGCGGTTAACTTCACAGTTTTCCACATTATATTTCATCTACCATGTTACCACCCAATCACTAAGCCTGTCTAAATCATCCTGAAGCTACTTTACATCTTCCATACAGCACACATTCCCACTTAGCTTTGTATCATCTGCAAATTTGTAAAGATTACATTTGGAGCCCATCTCCAAATTATTGACATATATACTGGAACCAAAGTACTAATTCTTGCAGTACCTCATTAGGCACAATCTATCAATGCAAGTGTGGCCTGTGAATTTCAGTCTGTTTTCTGTCTGTTGGTTATTCGTTAATCCATGTCAGCACATTATCTTCTATTCCATGTGTTTTAATTTTTCTGATAAGCCTCCTGTTGGGGCCTTCTGAAAATCTATGTATATTATGTCCATCAAATCTCCTTTTATCAGTTGTGTTAGTAACATTTTCAAAGACTCCCAAGTTTGTCAACCACATCTTCTGATTTGTAAATCCATGTTATCTATGTGCAATCAGATCATTATCATCCATGTAAGTCCATTTATCATTTATAATATAATGTAATAGATGCTAGCAGTTTCCCTACTGTCATCGAAGTAATGACTCACGTAAACATATGCAGCTGAGTACATTTCTTATGTCTGTTCTGCTCCAAGAGTTGCTTTCTTGTATCCTTGTAATGTTACTCATTCATTACTCACTTAACTAAGTTACGTTAAATAAATCAATACTTGCTGCTCCTACTATCTCAACACCTGAGTTTGTATCATAAATTGACTACTCGTTTTCTGAAATATCGTTCTTGCAGGTTAGTTTTCAACTTATCCCCTTGGAATACAGGATAAACTCTAGTTCTGCTGTTCTGGGCAAGGTTTAATATGTTATTGTAGCCAATGTCTTCCTTCCTTTTTAGAATCATAAATGAAGCTAACATATTACCTCTTGGCCATTTCTTTTCTATTGGGAACATACTGTGGTGACCAGAATTGGATACCTCATTCAATGAGATATTGACCTAGTCATACCTACATTAGCATTATCAGACAATCGGTACAGTCATCCCACCCATTTTGGATCCAATCCAAGTTGAAAGTTTTCTTTGTTGTTCATTGAAGAATGTTTAAGACATTTGTTAGTCTTCACCTGGATAATGATGTACAATTCTAGGTGTCACATAATAGGAAGGATGTGAATGCATTGGAGAGAATATAGAAGCAATTTAGAGTGGTTCTTGAGTTGAGAAACTTCTCTTATGAGAATAGATTGAAGAAGTTGACATTGTTCTTCTTGGAGAGAAGATGATTAAGAGGACACCTGAAAGAGGATTACAAAATCATGACAGGCTGGACAGACTAGAATGGACAATCTATTCCTGCTTGTAAAAGGAACAAGAACAAGAGGTTCCTGCTCCTCCTGCTCCTCTGATGCTGCTTGGCCTGCTGTGTTCATCCAGCTCTACACCTTGTTATCTCAGATTCTCCAGCATCTGCAGTTCCTACTGTCTCAAGAACAAGAGCGCGTAGATTTAAAGTGCTTTTATTATTACTTATTCACTCACTCATGGGACATGGGCATCGCTGGCTGACCAATATTTATTGCCTTAAGAAGTGGTGAGCTGCCTACTTGAACACTGCAGTGCCTGTGCTATTGAATGCCTTTAGGGAGGGAATTCCAGGATTTTGACCCAGTGACATTGAAGGAACAGTGATATATTTCCAAGTCAGGATGGTAGTGGCCTGGAAAGGAACTTGCCGATTGTGGTGTTCCCATGCATCTCCTGCCCTTGTCTTTCTAGTGGTGGTGGGCTTGGAAGGTGCTGCTTAAGGATCTTTGGGAATTTCTGCAGTGCATCATGTAGATAGTACACACTGCTGCTACTGCGCATCGGTGGTGGAGGAAGTGGATGCTTGAGGATGTAGTGTCAGTTGAGCAGGTGGCTTTGTCCGGGATGATGTTAAGCTTCTTGAATGTCAGAACTGAACCCATCCAGGCAAGTGGGGATTAATCCATCACACTCCTGACCTTGGCCTTGTAGATTGTGGCCAGGCTTTGGGGAGTCAGGAGGTAAGTTACTCACCACAGTTTTCCTAGCCTTTGATTTGCAAAAGAAGCAAGGGAGATATGAGAAAATATATGTTCACACAGCCAGTAGTTAGACTATGGAATGCACTGCCTGGAAATGTGGTGGAGCCAGAGTCAAATGAGACATTCAAGAGACTATCAGAAGATTATTTGGATAAATATAATGTGCAAGGATATGGGGGGAAAGCAGGAGATTGGCGGTAGGTAATAATGCTCATTTGAAGACATGATAACCAAATAGCCTCTTTCTGCATTGTAACACTTCTGTGATGCCGCAGTGTATGAAGACAGTGACTAGGCAGGCAACGTCTAAGGGGAGATCGTTTAAAAATCTGAATTGTTCAATTTTTTACAAACACATTAGGCCACTGCCAGCTTATATTTGACAGTAAATTAGGGACAGGTTTGTGTCATTGGATACAGCAGCAGGTTTGAGGTGTGAGGAAGTGTTGACCCGAATAAGTTCTGAAGATTTTTTTGCACTCCTTGAAAGAGTGACATCACAATGAAGTCTTCAATCCCCTAAGACTCGATCACAGCCCCAGTAAATTTCGATCACTTTCATCACCAATCCTCCATTTCCCCATACCCAAATTTCAATTCTGATCATGATCTGCCATCACCTTCCTTCCTGATGGCAGCACTGATTTTCTTGGCCCCACAGATTCGATTGCAGCCTGCAGCCTGCAGCCTTCGTCCTCCACAGGCCTCCCACCACTACATAAGGTTGCCTATATGAGGCCTGTCATTAAGATTGGCAGAAGGTTCACATTTCCTACCTTGTTCTCAGAAAATCTCAGTCATTCCCAATTAATATCAAGGCTATGGGCTTATAGAAAATACATGGTATTTATAAGTGATTATTTTTAATTAGAAGCCAAATCTCTCTCAATGGTCTGCTTTAATTACATTGGTTATTTTTAAACTTTTATCTGTATATTTTAATTTTTGAATAGTTTAATGCTCTGTTTGACCATTAATTTTTACTATGTGGATACAACCAACAGTACCTATTTAAGTTCAGGAACACCTAGAGACAAATGCAACAAAGTTCTTAAAAAAAAATTAAGTTGGGATCGTTAATCTTTAAGTGACTGAAAATATTTCAAGCCATTCATGTAATAACAACAGCTTGTATTTACACAGAGCCTTTAAAGTAATAAAACGTTCTATGTTTCTACATCCCAAGGTGTTTCATTGATGGCATTGTAAAAACAAAGTAAACTGAGACATGAATGGAGATATTAGGACAGATTTCCATGAGTGTTGTCAGAGGTAAATTTTAATATCTCCTTATGCAAGTTGATGTGTTTTATGATATCTGTATGACACACCTTGGGATATGTTATTACATTAAAAGTGCTTTATAAATACAGATCAAATAAAAATAGAAAATGCTGTAAAAACATAGGTTTGTCAGTACCTGTGGAGAGAGAAACAAACTTGAACTATTAACCTTGTTTTTCTAAATCGATATGCTTGGATGATAGATTGGGGCTTATGGTGTGATGAGTGTGTAGTATTCATAGCCCAGGCTTACATAGAATTAATAATTCTTTCAGTAGGCATCAAAAGGTTGATTACATAGACTGAATTGTTCCCTGTTGTCATTTTTTGCCTTCAGAACAGTATTGTTGAAGATTAGGAGGAAAATTGGGAAAAGGAAACTATTCTAAAATGGTTAATTTTGTAATTTTATATCTTTCTTCCAGTATGTGGCTAACGAGGAACTCGAACATTCCTTCCTAATGTGAAATGTCCAGATGTTGTGCTTCAAGCTGCCAAGTTATTTGGATGTAAAACTACTGAAGAATAAATAATTTAAGGTGTGACAACAAAATCTAAGTGGAATAATGAATCTCAAGACACTTCATAAAATGGGCCGAGTTCCTGAGTTGCTAGATGCTGGAACCTTCCCCTTCAAATTTTAAGTCCAGTGATCTTTTCAACGTATAAAGGTTCTAATCTACAAATTGCTACAGAAGAAATACAATGGAGCCATTTTTTTTTTTTGAACCCTGAATCATCGATCAAACATTGACATTGAAATATGTCTGTGACTGAACACCCAAAATGCTTCACCGTCTCACCTAACCAGTTCGTAATCAGTTTATTGATTTGATTTAAAGCAAACTGACCTATTTTTAAACTATTTAAAATGATTGAGCTTTAAAAGCAGTCTTTTTCTTGCTAAATTGGAAATATCTGAAGAACAAGTATGTAATTTACTGGAATTAGGATTAGAGCTGTATTAAATATCTTGATTTGCCTTTTAAAAGTTGCAGAACAAGTAGTTGTTCCCTTATTTGTATGGTTTTCCGCTTTTGAAATTGCTTTGATTGCTTATTCTCAGTGCCCAGTTTTACAGTGACTATTGCATGACATGAAACTGGTAACAACAATTTCTTTATTGGCTGAACTATTGCTTCAGATTGCTAGAGAAATATAACTGGAATTTAATTTTAACATTGTGGTTGTAAATTATTTTTTACGCCAATTATTTCCGTGTTCTTTTTAAAGTAATCTAACAAATCAAATGATGGAGTAAGAAAGGATTGTCCATTTGATTCTGTGCTGATTTTTTTTCTTTTAAAATTGTTTCTGTTAAACTAGCTTACAACTAAAGTATATGTAATGAAGAAAATCAAAGTCCCATTTGAAGTCAGTGATGGTGACTTCAGTTATGACTTTACAGAGATGTATGAAACAGTATCCTGCACTTGTAAAACTTGAGGATAAAAGAATAAATGCTGATTTAATAATTCGATTTTGTTTTGTTTTCACCAACTCATTATAGGAAAATGAACTTCTATTTAGTTTCTGAATTTAAATAAAAATATATTTAAAGACTTTTGTAAAAATATAGTGCTTTGTATTTATCATCTGAAAAACATTAATTCTTTCATTTAATTACATCTTGAAGAAGCATATTTGGGTTTCTGCGTCCAAATTGTGGAAAATATAGGGACATAAGAAATAGATGTGGAGTAAGCCATGCAGTTTGATTATTGCTGTTTTACTTCAATGATACTTTCTTGCACTATCTACATATGCCTTGATATTTTAATACGTACAAGTCTATCGATCTCCATCTTGAACATACTCAACAACTGAGGCACAACAGCTCTCCAGTGTAGTCCGTTCCAAAGATTTATCACTTTGAGTGAAGAAATTCCTCCTTATCTTAATTGTAAGTGGCCTTGTATTTCTGAATGCAATCTCCTATGATTTTTCTGAACTCCAGACAATATAGATTCTTTTAATTTAATCTTTCCTCCTTGAATGAATCCTCCAGCCCAGGAATTAATTTGGTGAGCCAGCATTGCACTCTTTCTATGGCAAATGTACATTTCTATAGGGAAGGAGACCAAAACTGCAAACATTACTCCAGGTATGGCCTCACAAAGGTTCTGCATAGTAAGGTTCTAGGTAATAAGACATCTTTACTTCTATACTCAAAAATACTCTAAAAGATGACTCTAACAAAAGATGACTCATCATTTGCCTTCCTAGTTGTTTTACCTGCATTTAGCTTTCAGTGACTCCTGAACAAGGACACCCAAGTCCTTTTGATGTTCAGCATTTCCCAGCCTCTCTGTTATGGGCAGAATCTTCCCAATCCCTGAATGACATGGGTAATGGTGAGCCAGTTGGGAAAATATGTTGATATTTGAAAAACACAAATTTCCATGTCAAGAAATAAAAGCCAGACTTGCAACTAAGATTTGAACAGTGAAATGTGAATCTTGCTAATGAGTGGTGAAAGTTACTCTTGCATGAATTTGTGTGCTATTAGTAACTAATCCCATATCAATGATATGCAGTTTCCTATTCTCCCACAGCCAGATAGAAACTAGATGGTGACAAATTCCTGACATAAAAGAGTGAGTACTAGCTCACTGCTTGCTTGATTTGGCTGGGCCTCCATCTTGGACAGCAGTCATCAATGTCTCGGGTTACTCTCCATGGTAGCAACTGCCCATAGGCTCTATCTACAGAGGTTATCATTGGCCACCCTTACCGCATCATGGCACATCTCCAACTCCATTACAATACAGTTCTCTTCAATGCTGCACTTTGGAGCACAGGAGAGTTGGCATGGAGGCGCAAGCACCAATTTCATGGATTGGACCTTGATCCATCTCAGGGCTTCTCGCTTTCTTGGTTTCCACTCTGACAGTGAGCCTCCTTAGATGCTCATAACATCTCCATTGGAAGGAATCGCCGAAGGGAAGTAATGCTGTCAGTTAGTCAAGGGAGGCCACCTTCAGTCAGGCTGGAGGTAGATACCAGAGTCATAAGTCAAGAGCATTGTCTATTACTATTCCAGGGGCTTGGACACGATCAGTCAACTTTGAGTGTTCACAGTCAGGAATCCATACTGCTACGTTCTGGGGAGTGGGCCACAGTTTGTCCCGCAGGTTCAGTTCAACCAGTCTGAGGATTTATGGGAAATCAGTCAGGAAGCTGCATAGATATCATTCTGCTTGCTCATTAGTCACTGCTCTTTCCAAGTTGGGGGCATGGGTTATGGTCAGTCCAAAAGGTCTGAAAGATGAGGAATTATCAGGTCAGTGCTGAGGTGTGCACATTGGGAAAGTCAGTTTTGGGGATTGGAGGCAGCATGCTGGGATGCAATAGGATAAATGTGAAGATGCGGGAGATCTACATGTAAGGTTGGGAGACAAAAGAACACCGGAGGGAAAGGTGTATTGCAGAAGAGGTGTCATTAATGGTCTCTACTCTGGTGTTGATAACAGTTAGTACATGACTGCACTGTATGCCTGGGGGTCACGATAAAGTGGGAGCTGAGCAGTTTGGTTACAAAAGTTGGGTGTTAATGTAGGATGATCAAAGCCGATGGGGTTGACAGAAGGTTTGGGGGTAGTCTTCCAACCTTCAAATCAGTTTGCTCCATGTCTGTGACAAACCTGCCTACTGCTGTTATTACTGATGGAAGGTATGCATTTTGATATTGCCAGGATGACTTCGAATGCATTTCAGTTTTGTCCAAATGTGACCAAAAGAGTGAATTGTTGTGGTGAGCTGAGTGATTGATATCAAAGCAGCATTAGCAGCCCTACTAGAGCTGGTATTAATAAGAATTGAGAGAAAACATGCATTGGTTGGAATTACACATAGTATAAAAAGCAGATAATGGCTGTTGGAAGCCAATCACTTCACCTCCATAACGCTATGTGAGTTCTACAAACCAACTATCTTTAGTTCCCTCAATAATCTTTCAGCATCATAAAATCAGTTGCATAGTGTTCACTTCAATTCACTCCTCCAAGTCCCAGGTAGCTCATACCTGCAAGATCTGGACACCATTCAAGTTAAGGAATGGCAAATAACAAGTGCCAGCAAATAACAGGTGCCAGCCTATAACAACTCCAACAAAAGAGAGTATAATTAAATTCCCTTGACATTCAATGGTATGGTCATCCTCCAAATACCTCAACACCTTAGCAGGCATGAGGTTTGCATTGACTAGAAACTGAATTCAACAAGCCATTCAAATGCTTTAGCTACCGGAGGTTAGGTATTCTGCAGTAGGTGAACAAGTTCTTGAGTCTACCCAGACTTTTCATCATGGACAAGTCTTGAGTCCAGAATGTGATGCAATAATCCCCATTTAGCTGGTTGAGTATTGCCAAAGTGCTCTGGCTGTGTTGTGTCCCATCTACAAACAAAAAAGTAGGCAGATTACTACCTGAATGGCTGTAAATTGGGAGAGGGGAGTGCACAGCAGGACCTGGGTGACCTTGTGCACCAGTCGCTAAAGGTAAGCATGCAGGTGCAGTAGGCAGTAAAAAAGGCAAATGGTATGTTAGCCTTCGTTGCGAGAGGTTTTGGGTATGGGAGCAGGATGTGTTGTTGCAGTTGTACAGGGCCTTGGTGAGACCACACCTGGAATATTGTGTGCAATTTCAGTATCTTTTTCTGAGGAAGGATGCTCTTGCTTTTGTGGGAGTGGAGTGAAGGTTTATCAGGCTGATTCCGGGGATGGCGGGTCTGATGTATGAGGAAAGATTGAATGGTTGGGATTGGTTTTGCTAGAGTTCAGATAAATGAGGGGGATCTCGTAGAGATTTATAAAATTCTCACAGGACTGGAGAGGGTAGATGCAGTGAGAATGTTCCTGATGGTGGGCGTGTGCAGAACCAGGGGTCACAATATGAGGATTTGGGTAGATGATTTAAGATGGAGATGAGGAGACATTTCTTCACCCAAAGAGTGGTGAGCCTGTGGAATTCATTACCACAGGAAGTAGTTGATGCCAAAACATTGAAGGTATTCTAGAGGCGACTATATATAGCACTTGGGGTGAATGGGATTGAAGGTTATGGGGAGAAAGCAGGATTAGGCTATTGAGATATTAGCCATGATCATGAAGAATGACAGAGCAGGCTCGAAGGGCTGAATGGCCTCCTCCTGCTCCTATCTGCTATGTTTCTATGTTTACAAGATGCATTGCTTCAACTCATGAAGACTTTTTCAGAAACGCCCTCGACTTCATGCTCACTACTGCCTGGAATAGGATTGTCCAAGTGTTTTGCAGGGGGGAGATACCTTTCAATACTTCACACCTAGGGGACTGGGGGCAGTGACAACATTTCAGCAACCATAAATGTGAATTTCTAAAATCAATCAAGGCAATAAATTGGTAATTTAAATGAGTAATTAATAAAAGTGAACATTAAAAGTTCCAAACAGCAGAGCTAATAATTTAAAAAACTGAAAGGCTGCAGATGCTGGAAATCTGAATCAAAAACAAAAATTGCTGGAAAATCTCAACAGGTCTGGCAGCATCTGTGGAGAGAATTCAAAGTTAGCATTTCGGGTCCAGTGACTCTTCTTCAGAACTGATGGTAGCTAGGAAAAGCATGGGTTTTATGCAGAAGATAGCATGGGGGGTGGGACAAGTGTAAACAATAGTTGGCGATAGAGCCAAAGACAGTTGGAAAGGATAAAGGGTGACCAAAGACCAGCATAGGAGATTGAATAGCTGCAAATCATAGAACCCCTACAGTGTGGAAACAGGCCCTTCAGTCCAACCTGACCCTCAGAGCACCCATCCAAAACCATCCCCATATAACATACCAACCGTTCAAATCCCTGAACAATTTAGCATGACCAATCCACCTAGCCTGCACATCTTTGGACTGTGGGAGGAAACCAGAGCACCCAGCAGAAACCCACACAGACACAGGGAGAATGTGGAAACCCCACACAGACGGTTGCCCAAGGCTGGAATTGAACCTGGGTCCCTGGCACTGTGAGGCAGCAGTGCTAACCACTGAGCCACTGTTAGTAGTTGACAATGGGTTGTGTGTGGCAGCAGCCTGTGTGATGACAAGGCCTGGTGTGTAGGAGTGAGGGAAACCATGGGCAAAGGTGCTTAAGCCCTAAAATTGTTGAATGTGATATTAAGTCCAGAAGGCTGCAAGATTTCCAACCGGAAAATGAAGTGCTGTTCTTCCAGCTTGCACTGAGCTTCGCTGGAGCACTGCAGCAAGCCTGAGATGGAGATGTTGGCCAGAGGACATGGCGGTGTGTTGAAGCGACAAGCAACTGGAAGCTCAAGGTAACTTTTGCAGACAGAACGTGGGAGTTCTGCGAAGCAGTCCCCTAGTCTATGCTTCATTTCCCCAATGTAGAGGAGACCACATTGTGTGCAGCGAATGCAGTGGACTAGATTGAGTGAAGTTCAGGTAAAGTGTTACTTAGCCTGGAAGGTGTGTTTGCGGCCTTGGATACT